ATAGAAGCCCTCATTCAAAGATACTCTTTAGGTATTTTCAATAATACCTAAATAATGGTAACAATCCCAGAGGTTATCTACTGATAAATGAATAAATAAGATATGGTATATCTACACACTGGAATATTATTCAGCAGTGAAAAACAATGAAGAAGAACCTTGAAAACATTATAATGAAAGAGGTTGGACACAAAAGGCCATGTCATGTATGATTCATTTTAGTGAAATGTCTATAACAGACAACTCTGTAGAGATAGAAAATAGATTAGTAGTTGCTAGGATCAGAGGCAAAGGAATTGGAGGAGATTGTGGACCCACAGTAACTGGTAATGGGCATGGATTTCTTTGAGGTTAAGGAAAATTTCTAAAATAGATTGCAATACCTCTCTTAATGTATTCTAACCTTGGAATATATCCCAAAATATATCCTTTAAAAGATAAAATTTTGTGATACATGAAATACAGTTCAATAAAAGTCTTAAAACAATTACTTAGAATCAATTCCTTCCCATAATTAGAATGGATTAATTCTCACAGATCTTTATTATGTATTTCCTAAATATTTAGCCTATTGATTATTGAAACTATCTTATCCTGGAGTTTCCTTTGTTCAAAAGCGTCTTTGTTGCTTTTCTCCTTGTTGAGAATAAAGTCCCCGACACCACAAGGTGAAGGAGGAACAGTTTATTTTGCTCACAGTTTGTAGATGTTTCAGTCCACAATTGGCTTTTACCCTCTTTTGCCTTAAACTATTTTCCTCTTCCTCTGGGCTCTATACTCTTCTATGCCTTTCTTTAATAGTCCCTTGGAAGTTATTATTTATTCCTATTTATTTATTTAGATTAATTTTACTGGTAATCTTTTGACATATGTAGTGGTCACATTATCAAAGGAAATTTGTACCTGTACATTATATACCTTGATTTTTCTTTTTTTACCCATTCACCTTCCTTCAAGCTCTCTTCTCTTGCTTATTTAAGTGAGCTTTGTTTCCATATTTTTCCCTCTAGTCTCTATTTTCCTCCTTTTCCGTTCCTTAACTTCCCTCCCTCTCCACTCTTGTTTCCCTTTCTATTTTTTTTTAATTTCTACACATGAAAGAAAAGATATGATTCCTATCTTTCTATGTCTGGTTTATGTCACTTGACATGTCTCCCAATTCTCTCAATTTTGTTGCAAGTGACATAATTTGATTTTTCTCTGTGAGGGAATGATATTTCATTGTGTATATATGGCATGTTTTCTTTTTTCATTTAAAATGCATTTCTAGTTTTTAGGTTGTTTCAGTTTTAGATGCTTCAGTATGATATGTTTACTAATATCTTATGTTAAAATCTTTAGTGTCATTTGGTGTATTTCTATTTCTCATCTCTTTTATCTACTTTTAACCTGACTTCTTTTTCAGTGAACATCTTTTCTTCATCATTAAATTAATAGACAAGCTTTCTTACATTAATATGCATTCATTATATATTGACACACATGCGCACGTGCACACACACGTGCAGACACATGCCTTCTTCTCCATCCCATGTGTCCACGTGAGGAACAACAAGGTACCTAAGGCTGCCTCCACCCCAGCCATGGTTTCAGCTGCTGGAAAACAGAACCCATCAGACTCTTAACTGCCTCCCCTCTTCACACCCAGTTCTCAGCATGTGCTTTGGCTCTCGCTTTAGGGAGACTCTGGAATTGGTGTCACCACCGACCCCAACTGTTCATTCAGACTCAAAAAAAAATCCACGGAGCACTCACTGCATTTATTCAACACTGTACTTGCCAATTACAATTGTAAGCAAAAGGTATTTGAGGATAAATAAGCCATGACTCATTCCTGAGAGGCCTAAAGCTTCATAAATGTGGTAATTATATAAACAATAATGTATGATTCAGTACAATACATGGTATAATAGAGGTGTGTGCAGAAGGAGCCCACGGGAGAAGTCATTAAGTCTGCCTTGGATTAGAGCAGGGATGTGGTCACGACATCTTCCTGAAGGATGCAATATTTGAAGAATGAATTGATGGGGGCAGAGTTTCAGGCAGAACAAACAGGATGGTAAAACAAGCAGAGGTTTCGCAGTTCGCCTGATGAGGTCACACAGGAAACGGACGGCACGGGGAGTATAATGCAGTCAGGATTTGCTAGAAACACATGGTGGTAAACTCTTTACAGCGTAACCTCATTTCCTCTCATAAAATCTTTACGAGACAGACACACCAGTTATCTTCATATTGAGGACAGAGAACTGAAGTTTAGAGGATGCTGTGGCAGGGTGGGATCATGTACCACTGCTTGTCTGGAACACACAACCCCCAGGACGGTAAACTCACAGTTTCAGTAATTAATTAAAGAGGCACGGTTTAAAGTTCTTTAAAAGTGGGTTTTTGGGGGAAAAAATGGAAGATAAAAGATAGGCAGTTACCCTGGGAGAGGAAGGAGCATCAGAAGTGAATACCCCAGCTCCTGTCCCTCACACATTTTATTTAGGACTAGTGATTTTCCATCCCTCGGGTAGGTATTTGAAAGTTGTCATCATGTGTTTGGCTCTCTTGACTCTTTAATCCTAACCTGGGCACCTCTACCTGCATTCTTTCAGGTCTTTGATTTCTCCTGTCTCTTTGTGATGGATTAGTGAGAGAAGAGTTATAAGAAGGTTAGTTTAGACTTAATTATTAGGTAAAAGGGACATGTGTGTCTGGTGCAATAATGCAATGATGTTAAAGTGAGAACACATGTATGTGTATATGTGTAGGTGTATTCCTGTGTGTATATGTGGATATGCGTGCATGTACTACATACCAAAGAAGAGTCCTTAGGTGAGCGCCCCTTATCTTTGTATTTTATCAAGTGGTAAAAGGGGCTGGTTTCCCTGGCGTTTTATGTTTCTGGCTTCCTCATATTTTAACTCTTCTTGGTAAACTGTTATCACAATTGTAATTGGGTTACCTGGTGCCTCTGTCAGTCTAGTTCTGTCTCTCCTTTGTATTTCTAATTACTCTATGAAATCTAAATGCTTTTAGTAAGTTTTCCTGTCTCAGCCTCTTGAGTGCTTAGATTACTGATATGAACCACCACACCAGGCAACTTAATAACTTTTAAGACTATTTGACAGAAGAATTGATAAGATTTCACTAGAAAAATTTTTGCCCAGTAGTAAAGAGTTATAGGAAATTAACATTTTTATCTGGTAATTGAGTGGACTGGTAGGTCTTAATCTGAAATTTGGATTAGGGAAGCAGGAATCGAGAAAAAAATTTCTAACAATGGGTTTTAATACTTAATTTTTTTACTCTCTATCCCAAAATATATTCTGTTCCTTTTCTCCTCTGTCTTGTTCCCTTCTATTTTCTTTTGCTAAGATATAAATTAATGAAAATAAATTTTATGATTCAGTTTGCTTGTTTTAATTTTTTCTTCTAATAGAGTACTCAGAACTGTTTTATGCTCCTCTCCACCTGTTTCCTTTGCCAGGGTCATTCCTCCTACCTGAAGAGTCTGTTCTATGCCTGCACACACCTACACAACTACCTTCCAAGGCCCAAGCATATAATACCTCTTTGACCCTCTCCTCCAGGCATTGTTAACCACTCCCTGCTTGTCTCTTACAGGAATCTGTTAGCATCTTTATTAACACTTTTTAGATCTTAAGTGCAATTGTATGGTCACAAGTTGGCATTCTTGATGAAAGTCAGGGCAGGGGCTGGCATTTTGTGTTTTCCTGTTCCCAGTGCCTAGCAGAGATCTTGGCAAAGAGCGCAAACCTGATAAATGTTCGTTGAATAAGTGAAAGGCCTGTAGTGTGGGACTGTCAGAAACTCCATACAGAAAGGTCTTCAGACGTCAGTGCACGGCCACCCCTCCACAGTGAGCACTGTAGGGATTGGACTCCTCACAGAACTCTGGGTGTTTCCTCTCAGAACTGATCCAAACTTCAGCCAGAATGAACCAAGATGGGAGAGAGGCTTGTGATGTCTTCATTAGGCACAAAAGGACAAACATATTTCAGCGGTGATTTCTTCATGAAGGAGCATCCAGCACAAGATGTTCTGTCACGCAAAAGAAGAACTGGAGCCTTTTAATAACATGCAATTTCCATTTACGATCTGAACTACTCAAGTACTAATCTTCAATCCTATATTTGACTCCTTCTGCCCTCTACTCATAAGAAAACATTTACACAGGCTCTCCAGGTAGACCTGACAGATTCTGCAGGTAAAATGACAGAATGTCTGCCAAGAGTGAAAGACGATACTGTGTACCCTGCATATCTGACTCATTAAACCACTAAAACAGATGCATGAAGGAGACCAGAATGTCATTCAGAGGCCAGTGAGAAGTTGAGCGGCCTATGAGAGCAGACAGACACGGATGTGGACAAACAGGCTGGTGACTGCAAGGCTGCTTGTTCACCCAGGCGGTTTGCCAGTAGCATCCACTAATGACACTTGCCAGGGCCACCTTGTACTAGTTAAGGGCAGAAACTTTGGTACCTTATGTCCTTGGGTCCAGTTTCCTACTCTGGCTCATACGTGTTTTGTAACCATGGGCAAATTACCTAACTTCTCCAAGCTTGAATTTCATTACATAAAAGGAAGGTAATAATCATAGACTCCCAATAGCTTTGTCAATGTGTTATGTTTAATTTGGAGCCTGCTTAGAGTAGCCACTTGTTATTTTTAGTTCATATTGAAAGAATCTTGTCCTACACCGGACACTGTAGCCGGTAAAGCCTTGGAGGCAGAACCAAGGAGCTCTACCTTCCCCGCCCCTAGGAATTTACCTGTGGCCCCAAATGAATATGAAATGGGCTACCTGTGCATCAGTAATGCCCCTTAGGCTCCACCCCAAACCTAAGTTACATGTATGCCCCCACGTGTCCGATGGAGAGATTGCCAGACCCTGGAGAGAATGCCGGACTCCCGGGGCTCAGGGGGTCTCTCCCGCATTCTTAAAATAAAAGTCATTTATATTTCATACTTCTTTCCAATTCTATCAGATGGTGCTGCGTGACTCGGATCGGCAGGCGAGTGATCTGGAATCCCCATTCCGAGTCCCCTGCTGATTCACGAACCAGACTGCGTCCTGAATTAATTCCTCACTTCTCAACACTTGGGAGCTGCTAAACTTGTCACTGCTGGTTTGCAAACAACAACAGTCTAATTCATTTACCACAGGTGAGCAACCCCCAAGATTACTCGGGCTGCTGGGCCAGGCCCCATGGGGGTTTTCTCCACCTTCTATGGACTCGGGTGATGCTCTCACGTCCTTAAGACAGCCCAAGGCAGAGTCTTCCTCTGTGAGAGAAAATTCTCACGTCCTTTAGAGCTTTTTAAGCTCTCACAGGCAGAGCCGTTACTAAAATCCACGGGAACTCGTGCCTCTGGTGACTGTACTGTCCCCAGACACCATAGTCTCTTGCCTCACCTGACTGTGACTGCCTGGACCAGGCCCCCACCAGATTTTATCTTGGAGACCACTTCCCATTCCCCCCAAAAAACCATATTTATTTATTGCTTATCACACTGACAACAAGTTTACAAAACTCTTTATCTTTAAACCTTTATTTTAAGAATGTGTCCTTCCCCTTTCTTTCCTCCCGATTCCACTCCCCCCACCACATGCGGACCCATTCCCCGCCGAGATGGGGGAGGTGCACCCAAACAGTGTTGGGAGGTAAGCGAGGGCTGCTCTGGGCTCTCCTGCCGCACCCCAGCTCCACGTGGGGACCCAGCTTCATGTAGTGCCTCAGCTCCGAGCGCTGTGTGCCCTCCCTGCCCTGCCTTTGCCATATACCCGCTGCCCAGCGCACTCTGCTTATACTGCCCCTGCCCTGCTGGCAGTTCCAGAGCAGTTCTGGCTCCACCCCATGCGCTGTGCGCCCTGGTGCTCCCCCGCCTGTCACTCTTCATGTGCCACCCCTACTCTAAATGCTCCGCCCACCCTGCCCGCTGCACGCCAGAGCAGTCAGCCCCCACCCCAAGCACAAGCAGGGCTCTGGCTGCCAGCGCAGAGACAAATGTGGCAAATCACAATAGATAATTCATTGTTGTCAATCTGATGGTGTATTCGTGCTTTCAGATATAAAATTATGATTGTTTCTGCTGCCTTTTTCTTGTGTTCCAGGCATGGAAAATGTTTTCTTTCAGATTCAGATATACACTTAGAGATGTTTCACAAATATCTTCAGCATTCAAATGTTAAAATGCTCATGGTTAATAGCCATTTAATGTTTTAATTTTAAGCTTACTGCCTATATTATACTGTACTGTTACCAATCTCCTAGATGTTTAACAACTAAAATTAAGAGGTAATTATAAATTCCTTTTGCTAAAAATCACTAGACATTAAATGACACCATAGCTGATTTCTCTCCTAAATAAAAAGAAAAATTGGGGCTGGAGATTTAGCTCAGAAGCATAAGCGCCTGCCTTGCAAACAGGCAGTAGTGAGTTCGGTCCCTGATACCCATAAAAATGAAAAAAGACAAAAAAAAAAAAAAAACAAAGAAAAATTAATAAAATAGGCCATCCTCCAGAAATCAGATGGAATTAGACATTTTAATTATATATAAAGAGATACTTATATATGACATAAATGACATGTCAGTTTCTAAAATTCCCTGGACCTTGTCCTCCTTATGAGAAGCCATTACTAAAATTATAAATACCCTATTGATGATAATATTTGACTCTTGCATACTTCATTCTACAGATACCTTCTACTGTAGACCAAATCCCAAACAAAAACTTGACCCTCAAACCCCAGAAACTACCTTAATATATGGCTTTTTGTGTTTTCAACAACAGAGATAACAGCAACACTTGAAATTCTGAGACAGGTAAACCGACACAAGGTGGAGCTACCTGGGCCCCCCACCCTTGGACCATGCCTCAAATGCAGCAGAAGGACATTGGGCAAGAGAGTGCCCCAACCTGGCGTTCCTTTGGGATCTTACCCCAGGGCTCTGGACTGTCCTAGCCACCAGAGAGTGGGTAAGCCATCCTAACTTCTAGCCCTTACAGGAAATGCCAACACTGCCAGATTCATCGCTGACAGATCTGCTTAAACTTGCTGCTGAAGACTTACGTGGCTCAGGGCCAACAGTAGCCCACTTTAAGGTGTCTGTCTCAGAGTCCAAGTCCCACTAAAAGTCTCAGGTAAGACATTCTCTATACTTGTGGATAGAGGCCATATATTCAGAGTTCTTCCTGAGTTTTCAGGCTGCTATATTAAGTCCTCAGTCTCTAGGAGATATTGAGGGTCAACCCATGCCATTTACAAACAGGGCCTATTTCATGCAGGTCCCAGACTGCTTCTTCCCAATCCACCCAGTGGTGCCAAATCTTCCCTCCACCACTCACTCTTCAGTCCCAAATCTTAAAAATGCTTTTTTATTCCCTTGTGTTTATAGACTGACCTAGACACTGAGGTCTCAACAGCTTACACCTGTTGTCACTAGTAAACCTCTCCTCAATGATATAGACCACCCCCTTCCTTTCCTGTTCACCAGTTTTTCACACACAACCCTGGTCAAGACTGACATAAATTTTGTCTTTTCACTTTGCTTATACTTTTTCAGGATACATAAAATCCTTTCCCACAACCAGGGAAACTGCTGATATACTTACTAAAGTCCTGTTACAGAAAATCATCCCAAGGACTACAACCAAGTTAGAGTGGTCCATACCTGGTCTTCTTGGCAACCTCAACAGCGGTCAAAGTTGTTAGACTGCCATCCTGGTTTCACATCACTCAGGCTAAGTGGTGCCCTTCTAGCCCTAGATCTAACCATCCTTTTGTCCACTCATCTCCATCTCACCAAGGATTCATATCCACAACTCTCAGGCTGTCATGTTTTGTCATCCAATTTGGTTTCTAATTTATTATCCTTTTTAACAGCAGTACTCTCATCAGTATTTCCTAAATACTCCCACATCATGTATACCAGAGACAAGCCTTACCTACCTACCTTCTTAACTTTTACCCTTTCAGATGGGGGAGTAATCACCTCTCATAACTTCACTCCTCCTAACCCCACATTTATTTTTCAGAATTCTACCTTACCATGGAAATGATTCTATCTCAACATGGTCCTGATAAAATGACATATCTAAATCAAAGGCACCTTTCCTTCTACCTCACCTGGGTCCTTAAATATGACAGTGCCATGCTTCCTCGTAACATCTTGTCTCTTTGTTTCCCCAGTCTAACACATGTGCCCTCACCAGTGATAAAGTTGTCCTGGCTAGAACATCTGGCACAACCTTCTACAAGGGCATCAACTGTCATCCCATCGACATTCCTAAACCCCAGTACAGCATCCCCTTCCAGCAGGAAGCAGTAAAAGAAAGAAGTCTCCGCCCTTTTTCCTAATAATCATAAGATGGGAATGAAAGAATCTTGCCCTAGGCCAGACACTGTAGCCAGTAAAGTCTTGGAGGCAGAACCAAGGAGCTCTACCTTCCCTCCCCTAGGAATTTACCTGTGGCTCCATCTTCCCTGCCCCTAGGAATTTACCTGTGGTGCCAAATGAATACCAATGGGCTACCTGCAAATCAGTAATGCCCCTTAGGCTCCACCCCAAACCTAAGCTACATGTATGCCCCCACTCCACGTGTCCAACAGAGATATTGCCAGACCCCAGAGAGAATGGCTCGGGGGGTCTCTCCCCGCATTCTTAAAATAAAGGTCATTTATATTTCATACTTCTTTCCAATTCTATCAATTGTGTCATTTGCATGGTTGTCACTCCCTTCTCTGGGTCTACCCAACTTGGAGTGGCATAGATAAAATAGAACAGAAAAGACTATGCAGAATAGAACAGAAAAAAAATAGCATATCTATTTTCTAACAGGTACTGTGATAGGTAAAAGGCACTGTTCTGTTTGTATATATTTTCTAAAAATTAGGAAATATTTTAAGGTCACAGGTTTTGTGTAGTTTTCAAGCAGCAGATACAGAACTCAAACTTAGTTCCATATAAATTCAAAGCCTCATGACGATGCAACCCAAATTGCAATAGAGGAAAAACAATTAATTATTTTTGATGAAGTATGACTAAATTCATAGGAATTAAATCACTTTTTATTATTTTCATTTACATAACCTTTAAAAGTTAGACTATGTTCTGGAAGAAGGTTCTCAACATTCTCTTTCCAGACTGAATAAAAGCTCCTTTCGTAATCTCAAAAAAAATGAAATTTATTTTCTCACCCTAATGAAGGATAAGCCACAGCTTCTTAATTATTATTGATGTGGCACACATGAAAAGTTATTTACGGTTTATCAGTATTTTATCAATGTTAGTGGGGATTGATAGGCAAGAAATTGTACTATGGTATGCTCCAACTGTACGGATGAACAAAATGAGGCTTGGAGTGGTATCCAGGATTTGAAAGACTCACAAGTATTAGAAGGCAGAATCATTATAGGATCACTTCTCAAAAATATTCATTAATTCACTTCATCAGTGCATATTCCTTGCATAGTTTCTAAGTACAAGATGCTATGCTAGAAACCAAAGCTGTCTCAGTGAACAAAATCTTTCCCTCTTGGATTTTGGTTTCTTTTGGGCAAAGATACAATAAAAAAAAAATTAAACAAAAATCTCTAAGGGCTAAGAAGAAATGATATAGAGTATAAAAGACTGCAATAGAGGGATGAGTAAGGTTTTGGATCCCAGAAGATTTCACCTCAAAAGGTAGACATCTGAACTTAGAACTGAGTGGAGGAAGGACAGATCAATGAGGGGACACAAACACGTCCAGCAGTGGAAACAGCGGCTTGGCATCTGTAGCTGTTCAATCTTAGTCACTCAGCGAATTAGTGACCCTGGCACAAAGGAAGGTCACTATCCTGCTGCTAAAGATAAAGTTATTTTCTTGATATCTGACTACAGAAGGTATCTCCTGAATCAGAGCTCTGTATGTTCCATTCAGCTGACTCAGGAAATCAGCAGAATTCTGTTGTAAGTTGCAAAGCGTTTGCTAGTTTGTGTGGTGTTCTTGTAATAGGTTAGAAAAATATTCCCCTATCTGGGATATCATCAGATATTACCTTTTCTAGGCAAACCCAGATATGTAACAGAATCCACAGTCTGATTATCAGAGACAGTTGAATGTTGTTACGTGTGTAGTCCAGCGGGCAAGCACAGTGTTCACCTGATCCTGATGACACAAATCTAAATTGTTGAAAGTTTCCTAATGTGGCTGACTCTTTCTAGATGACAAGTTTTGATGCAGAAGAGAGAACAGAGTCTTTTTGAAGAAATATGTTGCAGAGATCAGACAAGCAGAGCTCCCTAATTGCTTTCAACAAAGAATTTTGTGCTTTCTAAAATGTCCAACTATAAAGGAATACACTTGGATCTATAAAGGAATACACAAGGAATCCTATCCTTGACTCTGAGACACTGCACAGGTCTCCTTTTTCCCAATGTCCATTAATTTAGCCACTCATAAAATGGCCTGGTGACATCAAGCATATATGTTTTAGTCCTCACATGTCTTCATTCCAATTAACTCTGCATACTACTTGCTTGGGATAACTAGTGTCACCTAAATGAGCCAAGTTTTAGACCTCTGAGTGTTCATATCCTAAAGGAAGGGTACGTTGTGTCAGTAGTACAAAACAGGATCTCAGTGCAAACATTTCATTCTATGAAGTGCAAATTATTTAACCCAGTAAGCTATTTTTTTTCTTTTCCTTTTGGAAGACGATAAGGCAGACTTTATTAAAATGAGTTTGTGGAGCTGAACAGGTGGTGTATAGCAGTGGAGGGGAAAGATTGCACTCAATTCCCAAGCTTTTCTTTTTTTTTTTATTCTTTTCCTTCCTTCCTTCTTCTCCCCAGAGTGCTCTATCCCCCTACTGTTTGCTATAAGTGTAGAATAATAAATACTCAATTGTAAAAATACAGTTTTTCCTCAAAGAAACCTACAGACTATTTGTGGAAACATTTATGAATACCTACTCCACACATCCAAGAACAATTTGTTTTTGTTCAGAAGAATAAAAAAAGTGTACGAAAGAAGTTAAGTCAATCATTAGGCTCCTTGAGATTCAGAAACAATAAAACACTCTTCCTTTAAGAGACGTGCAGACTGGAAAGAAACCTAAGTCTTCACCAACAGATGAATGGATAAAGGCAGTTTGGTTCATCAGCCCAATGTACTACTGGTCAGCCTTGAAAAGAAAGTAAGCTTATCATTTGTGATAAAATGGATTAATGTGGAGGACCTTATGTTAGTAAAATATGCCAGACCCAGAAGGACAAATATCATGTGGTTTTACTTACACAGAAATCTAGAGTAGGTAAACTCACAAAAGCAGAATAAAATGAAGTTTACCAAGGTCTGGGAGGAAGGAATGAAGACATGTTAGCTGGAGATTGCAAAATATCAGTTAGACAGCAGAAATAATTCAGAAGGTCTGTTGTCTACGGTGGTGACTGACTATAGTTAATAACAACGTATCATATATCTGAAAATTACTGAGCAGATTTCAAATGTACTCATCACTGATAAATTGCATGTGAGGCAACACATATGTTAATTGTTTTGATTTAGTCATTAACTGTGTATGCATGTTCTAGCACATCATGTTGTATACCATAAATATGTAGTTCTATGTTTGTCTTTTTTAATGATTTTATACATAGATAAGATAGATCTATCCATCTACAGGTTGCAGCATACATTTACTAAATATTTAGGTTTCAAACACTGGGATCAAGGATTCTATAGAGCAGATAAGGAAGGTACAAGCCTTTTCTGGAGTGAGGCTGAGAGCTTGCCACAAAGGTTCCACTGAACCTGAGTCCAAAGAACAAATCAAAACCTCCAAGGGGAAATAGTGGGGGATCTGACCCTGAAGAAGGAGTAACAGAAGCAAAGGAAAGGCACTGTACATTGAAGGGCGATGGGTTCATCCTAGCATACGGGAAAAGAAGTCAGGCTCAGGGAGGAGACTAAGTACATTTTCAATCTGATATGTGATATGTGATTGTTGCTCGAGATCAAATAGCAATTCTGCTTCATGTCCATCTAATTATCCATGCTGCACTGGAAAATCCACTTTCATGATCTTTATAGATATACAGTACATTAGGCTTTATAGTTGTACAGTACCTTAGAAAAACCAAGAGGGCTTTTTTTCCCTTATTAAAAAACCTTTAGGTTTTGAAAGACAGGGCAGGGCTCCGTAGTAGTGACCCAGGGTAAGCTTTGCAGACATCTTGTTCAACAACCTAAATTCCACAGCAGATGATGTCACGTATGTATGCCCTATAAATCAGGCAAAGCTCCAGTGCATCTGAGCTATTTATTTGCATCCATACGCAGTACCATGAGAATGGCTGGCTCAGGACTTCAACTCACAGTCTTACTGGGACTGCTTCTCTTAATACTGACCTGCCATGCAGGTAAGTGCTTCGGATGACAGCTGTGAACTGTGCAGTAGTGAGCAGGGATTGGAGGAAGCTGGCACTGACCCAGACTATCCAGGGGGAGGGGCCCTTGGGTGCTACAAAGGAGCCTTAGACTAACAGATAGGAGGCACACAATCCAACAAAGAAAGGACTTTTACCGTCTCTTACTCCAGTTAAAGCTTCCATCTTCAGTAAATGGTTGAAGCCTTCTGTGGCATTTTACATAGTCATATTTGCTTAAGAATTCCTTGAGAGTTAGAGGGGGTATGTTTGTTTGTTTCATTGAGGCAGAGTCTCACTATGTAGCTCTGGCGTGGTCTTGAACTTACAGCAATTCTCCTACCTCAGTCTTACAAATGCTAGGATTATAGGCCTGCACCATCTTATCTGGTCTAGGTGGGAGGTATTTTTTATTTTATAGCTAATAAGGTTCAGTAATGAAAAATACACAATCTGGAACAAAACTCCTAGCATGGCTCTCCCTACCACAAGTGTGACTTTAGGCTTACTATTTAATCTCCCTGGATATCATACATACAAGGAAACATTAATAATGTTAATTTTCTCATAAAGTTGGCAATAAAATTAGATTTAAAAGACAGTAAATTGGGGGCTGGGGATTTAGCTCAGTGGCTTAAGCGCCTGCCTGGCAAGCGCAAGGTCATGGGTTCGATCCCCGGCACCAAAAAAAAAAAAAAAAAAAATGAGAGACAATAAATTGTAATATTAACTGTCATATCATCATGTGTAAGCTTTTTAAAAGTTTTAAATGTTTTGGTGGTTTTTTGAGACAGTCTCACTGTGTAGTTCAGGCTGGTCTAGAACATGTTTTGTAGTCCAGCGTGGCTTCAAACTTGCAATGATAATTTTGCTTCAGCCTTCCAAGTGCTGGTGTTCGTGATTGCAGTTGACTATTTTTCATTATCCTAGAAATTAAACATGCATATTTTTATCGTTTTCCGCCTTATAGCTTAATTAACTGAGCTTGCAGAAGGAAAATAAACAAGCACAGATGTAGATGGAAGTGGCATTTGGTAGCAAAACCTAAGTTCCTAGATTCTTTCCCTCATTAATATCTTATTTGGACATTGTAAGGACCACAAGGCAGCCTGCAGTGTGGTCATTAATTAATTAATTTTTTGTCTGCCAAAGACTTTCAGCTCTTGACACATCTCTCATCAAAAAGACTGTCAGCTCTTTCTTTGTCTCTCAACAGTGCAAGTATTTAGCAACACAGCTCTTTGAAGGCAACTTGGTAGAACTCACACCCCAGCCACCCACTAAGTGTTAGCACAACACTCAGGCATTAGGACAGAGTTACCCTAACTGGGGATGCGCACTCTGTTGCTATGGCAGCCAACACGGAGAAGAGAAGCGAAAGGTGAGAATTGTGTTCTAAAGATCAGTCCTAGTTCCTTCTTTCCTGAAATCAGTAATGGGGTAATGATTAAATCATTTCACTGTTTTGAACCTCAATTTCTTCATCTGTGAAAGCAAATAACTGTCAACCCTATTAGGTAAAGTAACATATATTTTTGCCGTTACTGCATGAGCTGTAAAAACTATGTAAATAGCCACAATGCTGTATTTGTTCACAATTTTATGACCATATTGACTTAAGAAATTCAACCAGGTAGCCAATGCATACAAAGAATTTTTTAGATTATAGATGAAAAATGGAAAGATCCAACCATGAACTTTGATGATTTGTTCATAAGTATGAAATTTCTCAAAATTTTAACAGTCATTTTAAATTTTCATAATCTCCTGAAATGCTCTTAAAGAAGAAAGAGAATCAGAAATTATTTTGTTCCTATTGTCATTGATAATACAGTAACACAGTGAATGTTTGGGCCTGTTATTGTGGTTAGTGATATATGCACCATATAAATATATAGAAAAATCTGTGGATACGTACATGACATCTATAAGAGATATATAAAATATATTTTAGTCCTGGAAGCACAATGAGACAGAGACAGTGGTTTAGCTTTACATGCAAGGTAACAGGACTGACGCCTTGCTGAAAACCGGAAGCAAACTCAGGTCAAAAGATTCCAAACGCTGTTTTCCTCCGCACACTCATATTTCCCAGGGTGTCTGAGGCTCAGAGACTCGGGTCAAGATTCTGGTCCTTCACACATTCCAATCTAGGCTCCTTGCAAACTGAAAAGCTAGTATTCATCTCATGTTAAAATAAAAAGTCAGTCAAATTAAATTGTTATGAAAATAGATAAATAATATTAAGGGGGAAGGAAAACTCACCTTTCACCTATGTAAACACTGCTATAAACCTGTCTCATTTTTTCAGAGGAAAATTGCTTGGAGGTAGAATTCTATAACACGCTTTTAAGAACATTCAGGTTCAAAACCTAGCTTGGCCTCTTTCTAGATGAATGATTTAAGTAAATCATATAATCATCCTGAGCATCTCTGGTTTCTTCTGTAAAACTGTAACATCCTCGCTGAGCTGAGTGTAGACAAAGACAAGTCGTGAAAGTTCTAGCCTATTGCTTGCACAGTTTGCATCCCACAACAGTTTTGTTTCGTTCTCTTTATGATGAACGTGAGCCAGTTCTGGGTATATGGTTGCCCTCCATTTTAGATAATGAGCATGTGCATATTTATCCTTTTGTTTTCAACCTTAGCTATAATGTAAAAGCACTACGCATAGAATGCCAGACTTAGAAAAATTCTTTCTGAATGAAGACATGAATGCTGGAATGAACGAATACTTGATAGTTAGTACATACATGTTTGTGATAAGGCCCAGGTTGGTGCTATCAAATCTTTGATTATGGCCTAGTAAACAATACGTGTTTGAAAATTCGAATGCCAGTATATTTTATGAATAGTTTCTATTTTAGGATATACCAATATAAAGATTTGGCCATAAGTTGACAGCCTTCACAAAAAGTTAGCTATGTGCCCTTAATCTAAAGTAATGGAGCTATGTTGCCCAGACGTTGGAATTTCATGAGTCAAAACTTGTGATAGAGTGGCTAGATAAAATAAAAGATACATTTCATCACCTTGATATCACATGAGTCATTCTTACATCATAAATGTATCTGATGTTTACCTCAAATTTAAATTTTGCTTAGCACTGTATTTTTATGTGCCAACTCTGCTCCCATTATTTCTCAGGCTACACAAAAATTTAAACATAAAGATCTTACTTCATTCCGTCACCAGGCTCATTGTACACATTGCAGCTGTTGGTCATTCTTCCATTAGTTCTCATCTCCCAAAAATAAAGATGACTAAATATTGACAAAATACCCGCAAGAGACCTTCGTGGAACCAATCTCATTCCCTGGATCGCTGGCCCTCAATCTACAGGGCACTTGTGTAGGGCTCAAGTGTATGAGGTCTGCATTTATGGGCCCATCAGTTATTCTTTGTGAGGTCTTCCACAAGTCTCTCATCTTTTCAGTTACTCAGTCCAGCAAGCCAAAAAGCGTACCCATAAAATAGGTCAATAATAAAGTTAGAGTACTTATAAAATAATTATTTATATGACTATTAGATGACATGCAAGTAATAGAATTTCTTTTTCATCAGTGTTATTATACTTTCAATTTTACTAAAGAAATACAGATCGTGTGTGTAACTTTTTTGTCAAAGATGCTATAGTCATCACAAATTGCTTAAAAATCCAAAATTTCATATCAGACACACCTGGGTGTGAATTATATTTCTGCCACTTGCTAATTCTGTGACACTGAACCAATTTCTTAAACCATTCTTCAGTTCCATCTCTCCAGCTTTAAATTAGAGTAATAACTCTTCCCACCTCGTAGAGTTTTCTGGGGTAAAATGAGAAAATGCGTGTGCATTGTCACAGTCATGTGCTCAAGAAATGCTGGTCACTGAAATCTCATCTCCAACATCACTTTGCTACAGGCAAGAGGATTGCAAGAAACACGGGCTTTGTACTGTATTTCAGCCCTAGGACCCGCACTCACTAGTTGCTTAACTCTGGGGAAGGTATTTCTGCAAACTTCAGCTTTCTTATTCACAAAATGGAGCTGATACTCACTTAAGCATCAATCCCTGTTTTTGTAATAAATGAGATAAATGAGATCCATGTAAAGAATTCAAACAGGTAAATGTGAGACATTTAAAGGTTCCCTATATGTAAAAAAGGCCTTTTTACTTTTTTAATATTTTTGCATATTTATTAGGGTCTTACTAAGTTGCCCAGACTGGACTTACTCTCAGTTCTCCCCTAATCCTCAAGTCCTGAGAACACAGATGTGTGCCATTATGCCCTGCTGAGATGTCCCTTTCTTATTTCTTTTCTTTTTCTTCCCGTTTTTCCTTTTCAGTGGTGGACGTGGAACCCAAGGCCTTGTGCGTGCTAGGCAAATGCTCTGCTGTTGAACTACATCCCTAGCCCCCTTTTCTGATTTGTATGAAGTATCTCTGAGATTCTGTTCTTTCTTTCAGATGACAAACCAGAGGGAACCCCAGAAAAGGAACCAGATGATTCAGAAATGAAGCCAGTCACAGACATTCCCAAATTCCTAAACATCCTGGGCACAGAGATCATTGAGAGTGCAGTTGAATTCATTCTTCGCTCCATGAATAGGGGATAGTAAGCGCTGAGACAAACCTGGCTTTTTGTTTATTCCTTGTTAATAATGACCATATTGTGTCAAAATGAATTAAAAAGAAAATTTATATCACAGACCAATGCATTAGTATTCACTGAAATACAATCCTTCATATATTTTTCCTCACTTAGCAGCGAATATGGAAGATAACGAGCCCTGGACCGGGGAATAGAAAGCCAATTTCTGGTCTTGACTTAGGTGCGTCTTTGCAAAGGGTAGTGCTGTATTCATTAGTGATGCATGTTATGAACCTTGAGTTTATTTTGTGGCTTGAATAGTTCAGAGTGGGGGTACAGAGACAGTAGATAACCTCTCTTTAGAGAATTTCTTAGCCTATTGTTTTGATCATGATGGATCACCTTAGGAATAATTAGCCATCTCAGAGTCTTTCCCATGTTTTCAGCCTACTTCTAAGACCGTTACCCTAATTCCTAATACAACTGATTTCAGCCTACACAGCTTTTATTTTACATCACTACTTCACCCTTCTGACACCAATCCCTCTACCTTCGGATCTCCAAGGTCAAATTCCCTTTCCTGAACCTCCAGGTACTTTAAATCTCTGCTTCTCTGTGCTACCTCTGCTCTTTAGTCCTGTCCTGCATAGACGCCTAACTGGAGTTTGACAAAATGTAGTCCAGCTGCTACTGGATTTACTGCAGTTTATATTTTAAAATATTAGATTCCTATATTCCATGTTGCATTTGTATGAAGGAAAGGCTAAAGGCATGCTTTTTATTTTTAAACAAGCATTTCAGGTAATCTGGATATAAAAGTCATCCCTAACCAGATGTTCTGGGCTGCATACTTGGACCTTAGAGTTTCACACAGCTTTCAGATTTTCATTCATATTTTACTTAATAGAAAATGTTCATGGCTTCTATTAGGTTCTCAAACATAATGAACATGTGAAAAATCATTTCTGTGTAGAATAACCGAGGGTCTTCTTGTAATATCTGATTTTTTAAGTCAACATATTTGGCTGGACAGGGTTTTATGCATTGTCTTTCTCCACAAATTGCCAAAATTCATAGCTGTTTCCTTTTTACTGTTGTATTTCCTATTGTATTTGCTTTTGTCCTCTAAGATAGGTGTCCACAACTCCTGGGAGACAGAGTGGTACAGGTATATAGACTATGAGAAACCAGATCACAAAGCAGAATGTAAGCAGTGAGTGAGCAAATTTCATCTGTACTAATTGTCACTCTCCGTCACTTGCATTACCCCTGAGCCCCACCTCTAGTCACTAATCATAGTATTAGATTCTCATAGGAGCATGAATCCTGCTGTGACATATGCTTGCCAGAGATCTAATTAATGTTCTCTTTATGGGAATCTAGTGTCTGACAATCTGCGGTGCAGCTGAGGTGGTGATGCTAGCACTGGGGAGAGGCTTCACAAAGAGATTCATATTCACAGAGGGGTTTGTCCACAGAGAGCATAATAAATTAATTCCTCACATGCATATCAAAATCCCATTAATTAATGGCAAGTAAAAGTTAAGCTATATCTTATGACTGACTTTAAAGTAGCAAATGAATTAACATATAATTACACTGTATAGCTGCATCTAGTGGCAGAATAGAAGCCAGAATGACACAGTCTGCCTATTATTCAGTTTACCACTTCCATCTGTGCCTCTTTCTCACACTGTACACTTGTCTCACTCAGAGTTTTGGTGAACCTTTAAGCTAACTCTAGCCAAAACCAGTAAAAAAAAATCACTGGAGAGTTTTCCATAGAGCATAATGCCCATTTTATCATAAAAATATATTGTTGTAGTTCTATAATCCCCGCATTTATTATTTAGAATATTTCTGTTGATTAATTATTAATTTTAATTTTATGTTTTATTATATTAAACAATGAGTACTCGACAGGAAAAAATGACAAAAGTAAAGTATTGCATTTTTAATATTTTTGAGCATTTATAGAAAAGTATCAATATTTTCAACATCAAAGGTTTTTTTTGTTGTACAAACTCTAAAAAAGAACAAGAGAAATAAATTCCTAAATGAACCACAATGAAAATACTGATAGAACTCTACAATGAAAATAATCTTTACTTCAATTATCACACCTAAGGCAGTCTTCACATATGACAACAGCTTTTACCATATACATGTTATCATTTACCCTGACAGCTTATGTGTTTTGTCAGGAGCTTCTTCATATATTGTACAATGTACATTTAGCAGAAAAATGATACCAATAAAATAACATATCAAATATGTAATGACTGTTTAGAATATACATCAGTATTTTCACATCAGCTCTCTATTTCCTCACAAAACCTGAAGCATAACATCAGAAATGAAAATCTATGTAAACAACAATGCAAACATCTACCACATAATTAAATTTTGCTTCAGTTGTCACAGCCAAGGTGGTCTTCATACATGACCACTATGTGTTCCAAGCACAAGTGTCACTTACACATATGTTTTGTTTTCCTTTCATTTTTTTGGTAGGGAACATTCAACATCTTTTTGGTTTTCCTGTTTGTTGTGTTAGGTCTTTGGGATGCTGCACCTGCCCATTCACCTGTCAGCTCACCAGTGCGCTCCACACCTTTTTTGCACAGTTCCCTGGGCAGAACCATTTTGTTCTTCCCCTACTATAAATGACATCTTACTAACTTCAGTCCCAGTCCTCTAGGAAAATTTCTCTATGGCATTTTGCACTTGTGGTTTTCTTTGTAAAACTACCGAACTATTTATGCCACACATGTTTAGTATCAGTCAGAATGCAACAATTAGAGATTTAGGAAAAGAGATTTAGAGATGGAGAGAGGGAGGTAAGTAGGAAGGGGAAAGTGACTAGACAAAGAAAAAGGAAAAGCAAGCATGAAAAAAGCAAGCAAGCGAGAAAGAAAGACACTGTATTATGCATATACACTTACTCCCCAAAATCAACGCAAACATCAAGTACTTCAAACATGTACTATTAGGAAAAATGAATGAAGTATGAGGGTTGATAATAAATGGAATTTGTTTTTTAATTCAATACACAGTGTGGGATCCCTGAGTACAGTGCCAGGTACACAATAAACACTCGTTACACTTTCAGGATATTGAACAGATCGGGTTGCTTCTTCTACTTGCTTTCTGGATGACTTTGGAACTAGGCAGACTGCATTCCATTCACTCACAAAAGCAGTTTTTCTTAACTTCCTCACCCTTTTTGGGGAGTGGGTACCGGGGATTGAACTAACAACATTGCACTTTCCAGGACCCTTTGGTATTTTTGTATTTCCCCCTCCCCAGGTTTCATGGCATCTTTTTGTGGTCCCTCCCCCCATTCTTAGCCATTCTTTATCATAATTTTTACTTTACTTTTTATCGTGCACCTGCTCCTTAATTGTCTTCACTCAAGCCTCCAAATTTGCCTGAGCTTCCACACTGCAGCTTGCATATTAGGAGTATTCCACATAATTTAGTGAATTTCAAATTCAGATCTCTATTTTTTCCCTAAGCTCCATATTCAAGTGACTGTTGCAAAATCTCATCTGGTTCTCCACCAACACCTCAAATTCATGTCTAATTACCAAGTCCATCATCTCAGTCAAAATCCTGCTTCTCCTCAGAAAATCACATCTCCATTCTCTCAGAACCCAAAAACTTCAGTTTTCCTGGTTCCTGCTACCAATTATTGCTTTTACCAAAATGCTGAATATTCTACTCTAAATTGTCTTCCTATACAATATTCCTTTTTACAACACTGACTAGTTGATATACTTGAACCCTTCATTATCTCTTTCTTGAAGACCTTTTATGGGATTCTCCAATTAGTTTTACTGTTTTTCACTCACTTATCACTCCAACCCATTCTCTACCTACTACCTAAAGTGTTTTATCAAGGTTGAAAATTTACTCCTACTGCTGCCATGTTTGAAACCTTTTTGTGAATTTCCATTGCTTACAAACCAGAGCAAATGCATTGGGTAAGTGGTAAATCTCTTTCCTTGATGCTGATATGTTTTTGAGTCGCATCTCTTATCTGTGTAACCAATATCCGGTGTCTGGTGGCTTGGTGACAGACAGTTTTGCTTTCAGGGAAGATTATATTTGTGTGAGTCACAGAGAGTTTCACACATGCTTTTATCTACTCTGCTGCGATGACTACTCTCTAATTCTGACACTATTCTGCTTACATTTCAAGTCTAAATGATTTTCTAGAGTCTAATTTAAAAGCAGGATCTGTGAAGAAGTTATAGACCTCCACAATTACAAAATTTGTTTTTTCTATTCTAATATTTGTAATGCTTTTTTAGAATCTTCATAACAGTACTATTCTCATATTTTTTCCAAATTACTGTGTTTGCTTTCTTGACTAGATCTATAATCTCTTCACAAATCACACACTGGTCATCTTTTACCTTCTCAGAAACTATCTTGATAATCTCTAAGCGACAGCTTATAGGGTACAGTGTGGCATTCCATGACTCTGGAGATCTAAGTTTTAAAGTTCACTTTGTGATTTACTAGCAATGTCATTTGTAAGTGTGGTTTGAACTTTCTGAGGTTCAGAGTTTTTCACAGGTAAAAGATACAATTAATATTTGTTCTACAAATATTTGCTAACTCAAACTATATGTCAGGTATCATTGTAGGTGCTGAGATATGTTAATTAACAAACATACCACAACATCTCTATTTATAGAATTTATGTCTAGAGAGGCATCCAATCGATCAATTTGTTGGAAAATCCTGAGATAATTATGCATAAATGCTTGTCAACTATGAACTATTATGAGAATCTTAGATCTTATTTCTTTCTGAAATAGGAAAAACTGAAAATTAAAAATTTAGGTCACTTGTTATAAGACCCCTTAGTGATCATGATGACAGTCCTGTTCAGTCTAAATCATAGCTCGTTACTCTCCCTCAATCTCTTTCTTCTCTCATTTTCCTTGTAGGAATATTTAGGGAACTTGATAGTAAAATTTTAACAGTCATCAAAAGTGACCTGGTCATGTGATTTTTTAAATGTATATTTTTCAAGTAAAATAATCACATATTACATTAAATGAGAAAGACTCTGTCTTATTCTTTTAAATGATTTGGGTACTCAT